CTTTCCAAAAAAATTGTGCTGCTATAAACATGGGTGCACATATATCACTGTGGTATGATTCGTTTTCTATTATTTGGTTCTGAATGCCCTGAAACACTTTCATTCTCTTGAATGATTTTATACTATTTTGTTATGTTTGATACTATTGTATGTGAAGGTATGCTCCACTATTTCAAAGAAAGAGACATTATGGTAGTTACTATTAATATCCGGTTGTCTTGTTGGAAGTGCTGTGCTGCTTACATTGTTCTGTTCTGATCTGCTTTGTTCTGTCCTCTTTTGTCTTAATCTCTTTAAAATAATAATAATAAAAAAAGAATATCTAACAGCCTGTCAAATCCTATTTTCCCCATTTCTCTTCCTGTGAATATTTTCTTTCTCATTTAAAAATATGATCTTTAACACTAAAGAAGAAAAGTAAGAATTCTTTAAAATGTAAATAAAATGCCACTTCCTTTCTCCTCATCAGTACATCTTTTCAGCAAAAATAAGATCTCTCATTTTCATATTTATTTATTTTTATTTTAAAGAAGGTAAAACAAACCATAACAAATCAGAGCAAAGCAGATAGGTAGAAAACAATGTAAGTGACACAGATTTCAAAGCAAGACAACAGAGATCAACACTGGACACTATAATGTCTCTTGTTCTCTTCTAAATCATTGTCTGTATCTTCACACACAATGAATTCATACAAAACAAAATGGTATAAAACTGATCAAAACAGAATACTGAAGGTATTACAGGCCTACAAAGTCAGTCAATAAGAAAATCAGCAATGGCTACCATAATGTCTCTTGTTCTCTTCAGAATAGCTGTCCATACCCTTCACGTATATTGAAGTTAAATAATACAAAACAGACTAAAACCACTCGGAACAAAGAATAAAAGCATTACTGGATTTCACAGCCTGCTGATACAGAATCAGCAATGGATACCATAATGTCTCTTTTTCTTCAAAGTAGCTGTTCATTTCATCACATGTAGTACAATCAATTCTTTTTTTTTTTTTTTTTTTTGTATTTTTCATTTTTATTGGTACCAGGGATCGAACTCACGACTGCCTGCTTGCAAGGCAGGCGCTTGTGCCACTGGGCTAAATCCCCAACCCCTTGTACAATCAATTCTTGTAAACTGTTTAGAAGAAGTTCTAGGTATGTATAAGCCGCTACATGTATATCTATCCTTTCTGCATTAGAGGGAAAAACAAAACAAAACAAATTACTAGAAAAACAAGAAACAAAAAAGACAAATAACAATAGCAAGCAACCCAAAACAGTGATGATATAGGCCATCAAAACAAAGTGGTAGGAACGTACTGTGTTAGTTTATATAGCAGATTTCTCATTTTCAATGTGACTGTCAAATGTAACTATTTGACTAAGAAATGTTTACTTATTAGTGACACACAATGTTTGGTGTAGTTGCAACCATCTAAAGGATTTGCTGTACAAACACCTGCTCAGGAAACCCTAAAATCTTTAAGTGGTAGGAATATTAATCGGTTAAATTGTGGGCTCCTCCTCAAGAGAAGTTACCTGCTGTCTGGCTCTCTCTTTCCTATACACAAGATCTCTCCGTGTGGGCAGATTTCTTTTTCTTTTTCTTTCTTCTTCTTCTTCTTCTTTTTTTTTTTTTGTACTGAGAATCTAACTGACAACCTTGCACTTACCAGATAGGCGCTTACGCTGCTGAGCTAAACCCTCAGTCCCAGAATTCTTACCAGATTCACCTGGAGAGCTTGCCACAGATTTATAACTGCAAGCTCCATTCAAGTTCAGAATCTCTGCACCTGCATCACCAAGAATCTCTATTGTTAATAAACACTGCACCCAATTCTTATGCATCCTGAAGTCTGTGAATCACAAGCTTAAATTCCTTCTCTGAAATGCAAAGAGAAGCAGAGAGCCGAAGAACTGCCCAAATGCAACCTTAACAGACCAAGAAGTTTGAGGGAGCCTTTCTCTCCTGCCTGTGTCCTTGCTTCTTTGGTAACATCCTCGGCAGAGTTTTATTTAGAAAAGGCTCCAAGTTGGAATCATTGTAGAGCGGTCTATAAACCCTCTACTAATAAACCTATAAACCCTCTACTAATCATTGTGCAGGGGTCGCCCCACACTCTCTAGTAACTTCATGTGTTACTGCAGTAGCTTTCTCACGAGTCTGTCCTTTTATCCATCTCTCTAGTCATCAGCCCACCTTTCTCTTTTGTGTAAGTCTAAAAGGAAATTTCAGATATCTGGAGTATTCAATTTGGGATGATGGTGATTCAAACACTGGTAAAACTACAGTGACCTCTTTTATGGAATAGACTTGGTGGTTGGACCTGGGGGTGTGTCCCAGGGATAAGGCACCTACTTAATGTGTTCAAGGACCCTGACTTCAACTCCCAGCACTGGGGTGGTGGTGATTGTTTGGCCTTGGCCTTGGGAGGACATTTAGTTTGCACTAAGTCTAAGACAGAAGGATAGGCTTTGCTGGCTGTAACCAACGTCTGCAGAACAGCATCTACTTGTCTATTCATCTGAGTGGGAGCTTTTGTTTTATTGCTAGAAGAAAGAAGGCGGTGTGGAGCTATGGAAAAGAGACATAAATGTGGAAGCCCATGAGGGTAGTGAGCCTCTCTGGTCCATAGTGTAGAGGACCACCTGGACAGCTCTCCTTGCAAGAAGAGCATTTGGCCCTAGCTCCATGTATTGATATGCATGAAGCTGGCTAGAACATTTCAGTTTGCCCTCAGTTGGCTTTAAACAATGCAAATGGGTGTAGCTGAGGTGCTGATGTGTAGTCTTTGAAGCAGTGTGACAGCATAGTTGGTGATGCCCTGTCTACAATTCCCAAGTAATATGTGTGATCAGGGAAGAGAGATGCCACACTAATGGCTGAGAATGAGCCTTGAGAAAAGTCAGGACTTCTCAGGGCATGGATTACACATCAAAACTGAAGCATCGACCCCAAAACACTAGATGCTGCCCTAATCTGTGATCTGCAGATGACTCTTTCTGCATCTCTCTCTCTGCATATTGCAGAGGTTATTTCAAGCCTCCTCGTAGACCAGCTCAAAACACTCATGTAGTTCTCTCACAGCCTCTCATCCCTGAGCCACCCCCTTCTTCTTGAATTAATAAAACCTGGATTGAGGCATTTGTTCCATTTGTTAGCCATTGTTCTAGCCGGACTCAGCACTCCTTGGCTCCCCACAACTACAAATATGCCTTGGTGTCTTTATTCTTACTATGCTTTTCACTAGAAGTGGTAGATTGGAATTCATTTATTCAAATTCCGATTACTTCTCCACTGGGATTACAAAGATAAGCTTTATTGAACCACGACAAGGTCTGGGAAGGGCTTTGATACATAGATTGTGAGACTGTAGTGGACAGGTGAGGTAGAGGCTGAGGTTTGCTCCGGTTAGTGTTAGCAGCTAGATGTTAGACCACCCAGGGCTGCATTCCACCCTGCTTGACTTGGATGTGATCCTTAGATGCTGGGCCTCTGTTGTGGCGAAAATATGTGCCTGAAATGTCATTCAACTTCAGTTGCTTTTTTTTTTTTTGTCTTTTTCCTTTTTATCGGTACCAGGGATCGAACTCACGACTGCCTGCTTGGAAAGCAAGGGCTTATGCCGCTGAGCTAAATCCCCAGCCCCTCAACTTCAGTTGCTAAGATATAAGAATATATTCCTCCATACATTTCCTTAAGTTCACATAAAATTAACATATGAGACTGAAGCAGTTGGCATGCAAGAAAGAAAACAACTGATTCTGACCAGAGAACCTAAACAGATAGAGAGATACAGGAAGGAGTGCACTTCAAAGTTCTTCCAGAGACATCATTGTACTTAAAATGAAATTCAGATCTTCGATCCTCAAGTGTTTGCATTGTCTGGCCTCTGCTCACACCTCCAACTTCATCTTTTCTCCTTCACTATTACTTAGCCTTAATCATAACTGTCTTGGGTTTTAGAATGAGCCAAGTTCCTTGGGTCCTCAGGACATCTGCACTTGCTGCTTTTGTGCATGAAAGTCTCCTGCCAGATCTTTACAAGCCAGACTCCTTTGTATTCACTGGGTCTCACTGCAAATGCCCCCTAGGTTATGTCCCTCCTGACCACCAAGTTTAGTGCCTATTCAGCACTCAGCTCTCCATCTTCTCACATTACAGACGCTCCTCAGCTTACAATAGGGTTATGTCCTGATAAACCTATCATAAATTAAATATGTCAAAAGTTGCAAGTGCATTAATACGACGTTCATAACCTACCAAATATCATGCTTAGCCTTACCTCCCTTAGACATGGTTAGTACACTTAAATTAGCCAACATGTGGGCAAACTCATTTAACACTAAACTGATTTTTAGTGTTGAGTATCACGTAAGTTAGTGAAAACATCAAAATGCCAAATCTTAAGTATAGTTTCTTCATAATTCACATCCATTTCGCACCATCATGAAGTTAAAAACAATCGTAAGCTGAACCATCGTAAGTTGGGGCTGTCATTTTTTCCTTCGTTGATCACTATCTGAAATCCTTAGCTATGTGTTACCTGTTTCACTGACCACCCTACTGGAAGGCAGCACCGACAGGGCAGAGATCTTGCGTGTTTGCTTGGTACAGGGTTGTTACCATAGCAACTAGAACTGAGCTTACTGCACACTGTAGGCATTCAAAACACACTGACTGAAGGAATGACTGAATGAAATTTGGCAAATAGAGGGAAGGGTAAAAGTCCATGGATAGGGGCCGGGGATGTAGCTAAATGGTAGAGCGCATGCGTGTGCGAGGCTTTGGTGTCAACCCCCAGCACCTCGAGGGATTAAAAAAAAAAAGTCCAGGGAAAGTACAGCACCCAACTAACTCTCAGACAAAAGCCAGAAGTCCCAGAGCAGCCAGGACTTCTCAGAAGCGCAGGGCTCGCGCGGGAAGGGGCGTGGCAGGGGCGGGGCTGAGTGAGGGCGGGGGGCGGAGCCGGCCGGAAGCGGGGGCGCCAGCCCAGGAAGTGACGCCCCGCCCCCCGCTGGCCGCTGAGGTCTTCTGTCCCGGAGGTCCGAGTCCGAGCTTGTCTGCGGGGCTGCGGGTGTCTCGTCCCTGGGCGATGGAGAACGGAGCGGTGTACAGCCCCACCACGGAGGAGGACCCCGGCGTCTCCAGGGGCGCCCGCGGCGGCCTCGCTGCGCACTTCTCCCTGGGGCGGCTCCCGCTGTACCGGCGCGTCTTCAAGGGCTTGCAGCTGGTGAGTTCGCGGCGGCGGAGGCCGAGCTCGGGCGGGAAGCGGGGTCCGGTCGGGGGCCTCGGCCCGCGGCCGGGGAGGCTGCAGGGCGGCCGCTCAGTCTGGGTGTTGAGAAAGCATCCGTTGCCCCACCTCTGTCCCTTATCGCGCGTCTGAGGAAGAGGGTGCCCCCCCCCCCGCCTCCCGGGGCGCCCCAGACGCCCCGCTTCCCCGGTACTCATCCCAGTGGGTCCCCGAAGGCGACCGAGGCCGCGGAGCGTGGTCCGTAGGCCCAGGAGCTGGGTGGGAGGAGACCCGGTTGGCGCCCGCGCCGTCTTTCACCCGCCGGCAGTGGGATCTTCCTCTCTTCTCCCGGGAGCACGCCCTGTTGTCGCCCAGAGTGCGAGGGGCCGCGGCACTGCGGTCCCTTCTGACTCCTGAGGTTTTCCTAGTGCTAGATCCTGAGGGCAGTTTAACTTGTTGGACAGTTTCAAACGTGTATTAGACTTAGAAAGTAAAAAACATCGTTTTATATGTATGTGGAAGTAGCAGAGGTAGGGTAGGTATGGTATCCCTCTTCAATGTAGTTTATATTTCGACATAAACCTATTAGTGAAAATATCAAAGCATTTTTAACTTTAAATTATAATTCATGTGACATGCACATTCAGCCCCTGTGTGCAATTCCTACTGCAGATGGCCGTCATTTTCTGCAACAGCAACAGTTTGGGAAAACTCTAAATACTTAGAATGGTTATAGGTTGGTTTTGTTTTGTTTTTTAAACCATCCCAGAGGGGCTGGGGATTTAGCTCAGCGGCATAAGCGCCTGCCTTGCAAGCGCGCGGTTGTAAGTTACATCCCCGATAACAAAAAAGAATTTAAAAACCATCCCAAGTAAAAAATGGCTTATTGGTTTTCTTGGGACGAACTTAATATTCTTACAACTCAGAGGACCAGAACTTGAATTCCTGGAACTCAAGGTGACCTACTTTTGTTACGTAGAAAAACAGTAGTCAGAAAAGTGGCATTGCTTTTAGCCACCCAGATGATCATATCTAGAGATGATTGGGCAATCACTTGGAGACGAGGATAATGTGTCGTAAGCCAAGAGGTCTGGCCCTGTCTTTCCAGCCGCCCTCTAAATAGTCCCCTTTAGGTTCCTAACAGGCATCATGAGTTCTAGTCTGCCACTGTTGGTTTGCACAACCTGTTCCTTCAACCTTCCTGTGTTCCTGTTCTTACTCTTTTTATCAGCGCTTACATGGTTTTGAAAACAACAGTTTTGCCTCTGTACAGTAAAGCATAAATATTTCTTATATGAATAATAAAACTTATAAAAAAAGAAATACAGTTCAACTGAAGCATTATTGCTGTTGAAAATAAATCATCTGTATTGGTCTGCCTGTTACATCTCCTACTTTCATTTGCTTTTATCTTTGCATTCTAATCAGAAGTGCCAAGCCTAGAGTACAATTTCTCATTATCTTATTATAATTTAGTAATCTGTAGTTGTATATCTTGAGACTAGCACACAGCCAAAAGTTTTGCTCTCTTTTTAACTTGAACTCAGAGAAGGTTAACTGTCTTGAAAAAGTCAGAAAGTTCCTTTTTGGTCCCCATCATTCATAAAGAGAAATGAGAAATACTAAAAACCAATGTTTTTGTTTTGGTACTGGGAATCAACCTTACACTTGCCAGGCAGACACCGTGCTAATGAGTTGTATCCCTGGCCCCAAAACCAATGTTTCTTAATGAAATTGACTTATTTATTTATGGCAAACGTATGCTACTAAAATGCTTTAACATGAAATTTTAAAAGGTTTTCATTATTACCTTTCACTTTGATTCTTTTGTCTCTGTTCCTTCTTTATCTTGTTCTAATAATGCCTTATCTCAATAACAATATATTATAGCATTATCCAGAAAGTCCCAAGAAATTATAGGTGAAGACAGTATAAACTGTCACCCAGCTTGGACAATAGAAAAGATCTTTGCCCTCACTCAGATTCTGCCTTTAATTTGTCTTTGGTTGATTTATTTAAAAAAACGAAACTGAATTACAGAGCTCCAACAAGGAAACAACAAATGGAGAAACCTTTAATTCAGAAGACATAACATTTTAACAAAGAGCATACAACCCTGTGAATTTGTATTCAAAGTGTACATTTATGTGTTTAGTTATATTCTTATAGATCTACAAATCTTAGATTCTTAAAGACCTTAATAGAGAAAGGAAGCCTGTTTTAAAACTTAACCCCAAGCACTGTGAACTTGGGTAATTCTTACGTTGGACTTGAGGTTGAACTGGATTGTCTCTGAGAGTTTTTTTCCTCTCTTTAAGATTCTTTTCGAATCTCTGAGGCTGTGTGATTTGCTGTTAGAGATTGGAATACTGAGGAGGTGCAGGTTGGAGCCTGCACAGATATCCAGGAGGAGATAAGAGATAAAAGGACAAAACTTTTCTAGCTATTAGAGTTACGAAGTGATGTTTGTCATTCACTTATGGACTGAATTTTGTCAAAGGCTTGTCCAAACTGTGTCTCTTAACTGCTGTGCACCCTTTCAGAGCTAAAAAAGAAATAATGCGGTTGAGAATTTAGTGTAAGCAGTTACTGGAGTCCTAAATTTATGCAATCGGTCTTCCAGTTTGTTCTGCCCATATAGTTGTCCCTCTGCTCTTATTTTGTGACTTTTTTTTGAGAGTTATTTTTGTTTTAAGGGGCAAATTGACATGTGGCAACCTAATTACTTGCTAATTAGCTGGCAAAGTGACCTAAATAATATATGTGTAATTTTCTTTCTGTAACGAGCTCCACATTGTCTATTGTGTCAGCTGCATGTTCTGCTGGCCCTACAGTACTGAGATTATAATAATTGTTCAGGTGAGCAGTTTGTTGTGGGATTCACCAGTGATTTGTTTATTAGAGTATGAATAAAATTACTCTGTAAGTACCAAGAAACAAACCCCTTAGAAACTTATTATATTGATGCCTTTTCATTGTTTAAATGGGAAAATTGATGCCTATGACATTAAAATGTTTTATTTTTACCTTGAAAAAGAACTGTACTTTGAGCAATTAGATCATTAAATATTTGTAAGGGTAAACAAATTGTTTAAGGCTATGGAGGCCTAGTCTATTTCTCCAGGCTGACAGTTTTTAAAATTTGAAGCTTTTAACTATAAGATATTTAAAAGTTATAATTCATACAATGATGTAGATCATGCCTTGTAATTAAGGGCAAACAATTGTGTGTGTGTGTGTGTGTGTGTTTTGAGATAGGGTCTCACTAAGTAGTTTAGGCTGGTCTCAGTTTGCAGTGGTCCTCCTGCTTCAGCCTCATGCACGTGCACCCTGAAAGGCTTAGGCAAGATGATTGCCAAGGGAAAGCCCAGTCTGAGTGACAGTGGGACCCTGTCTCAATAAAAAAAATGAAAGGGGGTAGTGTGTGACGCAGTGTGAAGGTTCTGGACTTACTCCTTACTATTGAAAAAAATTAGTAGATTGTTAAAGATAAATGATGAAGAATTAGTATTCAGTATGACCATTGGTTTTAAGGGAGTTTGAAATTTTAGAAAAGTTAGTGAAACTGAAGTGGAGATACAGGATAATCTTCTAATATCTAAATGTTGAACCAGAGCTATGATTGAGACCGTGTTTTGGTCACCGAAATTTTCCAAATAGGTTGATTCTAATAAACATATTTTTAACATATGACTTAATCGCAAAATAGGAAATATAAAGAGGAAGTTGTAACTTCAAAAACCGACTCATAAGGTGAACTTTATCAACTGTTTCCTGGGAATTGGAGGCAAGCACAGAGTGGAAGGCAGAGTTTTTGCCTGTGTTTGCCTGACTTGGGCTTTAGCCCACCAGAAGCTTACTAACTTTTAATTTGAGGGTGGGGAGCTTTTGTTCTCCCTCAGCCCTCTCAATTCGATAAATGCTTGCTAATATCTTGATTATATTTGGGTAAAATTTTGTCCTACAAGGATTACATTGGACATAGAGTTATTTGACATTATGACTTCATACTATTGAAAGCAAAACTGTTACAAGTAAAATCTGTTTTCTTCTCTCCAATTTCTAATCAAGAGTGAGCCTCCCAAAGTACTACTTAAGCCCTTCTACTTCAGGGTTACATTTGTCATTAACTTCATACCTTTATCGGTGATGTTTTCTTTCTTTCTATCCTTGACTACTTTAGTATTTAGTGCTAGTTGGCACCCATTTCTTGAAATCCTTAACTATCACGCTTTCTTTACTAATAGTACAAAAAGTGTCTGCCTAGGAAAAAATAATCAACTAAAACTATAAGTAAAATAAACTGAATCACTCACATCCGCCCATTCCCAGCCGTCACTGATGGTCTGAGTTTGTGCCCTTTCCTTTTAGTGTTTCCTGAGTTTTGTTTTACAACACTGGGGATGTAATTCAGGGTTACTGCACTGAGCTACATCCCGATCCTTGTTTTATCTCGACGTGGGGTCTCAGTGAGTTGCCGAGCTAAGTTTCATATTTGTCATTGCTCTGACCTCAGCCTCCCAAGTGCTCAGATCACAGGCCTGTGCCACCACACTCAGCTTTAAAAAAATCAAAACCAAAAGACTTTCTCTGCCTTGTTTTTCTTGTGCTGGTTGCTTGTTTCCCTTCTACTCTGAGAATTCTTTCAGGCCCCACCCTGCGCTCTGCCCCTCCTGTCTCCTAATTCACCAAACCTGGTGGGTGTTCCCTGCTGTGTTTGTTTAGAAGCCCATTTTCCCCGGTGAAGTCACAGAGCCACACTGAGCACTTCTCCACTTTACTCCTCCTCTCTGTATAGTCTGGTTACTTGTTTTGTAATCCCCTTGGATTTACCATGCATTTCTTGCCTTTGACCATCTCCCCGCCCCCACGACATTCTTTTTCTGTGCAATTTTGTCCTTCTCAGGCCGTAATTTGAGTTCTACATTTCATTCAACCTTCTCCAGCTTCTAGGGATTTTCTCGACTTATGCATAAGGAACGTTCAGTTCTGTGGTATAAAACATTTGTCTTCTTATTGTTTCTTGTACATGGATCTTTTTGCTCCATCCTTAATGTTCACATACATCCTGTTGATGCATAATTCTCAGTACATTTTGTACTAGAGACTAAATATATTGTGGGCAATTATAAAGGAAGGTTGAAGGGCTCAAGACTAGAGGGAGAAAATTTCATGCTGAGTAAGGCTTGTTGGCCTTTGAAACTGGAGATAGGAACTGCCGAGTGTCCATGCTGAACACTGTACCCCTTCATTCTCTGTGGAAGGCCAGGCAGGACCCGCCTGTAATCCTACTCTGAGGCAGGAGGTGGGTAACAGTCCTATTACTACATTCGGGACAAGACTTGTCATGATTTGAGTCTGCTGCCCTTTTCTTACCTATAATAGACAAAAAACAGTTCATATCTATGCTGCAAATAAGATTTCATTATTGTCAGGTAGCTTTACAGGTGCGTGGCCTTGATGATCTAATTTATGTGAGCGATTATTCTTTTTTTTTGTCTTTCTCATTTTTATCAGTACCAGGGATTGAACTCACAACCGCCTGCTTGCAAGGCAGGCGCTTATGCCACTGAGCTAAATCCCCAGCCCCGAGCGAATATTCTTAAACCTCAAAGTTTTAGGCCGGTTTCTTCCCAGTTAATTGACTTGGTATATTTTGCGTATTTCTCTGACCTCTTAAGAGATGGACAGTGTTGAACATAAAACCAAGAGTAAAGTTGCAGATTAGACATTTAGTATTGTATTACTCTATAGTCATGCAACATTTCATTCTATACTGGTAATCATAGGAGAATAAGGAAATATTTTTGTTACTTGGAATTTGTCACTATATCCTGTAGTATAACAACTGGGAATGATTCACCTAACATCTGGCTGAGGGAAGTAGTTTGGGTTGTGTGGGGCTGTTTTATACTTTGGTAATTTACAGGAAAGCAGCACGTTGGAATTGTAGTCCTATAAATTCTTTTGGGTTGTGGGGATGTGTAAGTTTTATATTGCCAATAATGAAGGAGAAAATACCTTAAAGCCTTATGTACTAGTTTAGATTTGGCCTCTATTTTTTTTCTTTTCACTTAATTTTGAAATAATTAAAGGTTTATAAGAAGTAGCCAAAAATATGTCCAGAGAGGTCCTGTGTACTCATTTGTAGTGGGTAGTTCTTTGCGGTTCATTACCTGCATAGCAGGACTCCTTTGTCATGAGGCTTGCTCAGTGTCCCCCCCTTATAGCCACGCTCCCCCTTGCCCTTGGATGTCATCTGTCTGTTCTGTCTCTCTGTTCTTGTTCAAAGAATGCTATTTAAGTGGAATTACACAATTCATAACCTTTTGAAGGTAGAGTTTTTTTTTTACTTTGTGTAATTCTTTGGAGATTGTTGAGGTTATTTCAGATACTACTTTTGTACCTTTATTATTAATATTCCATGGTGTGGCTATACCCCAGTGTACTCATTGAAGACATCTAGGTTATTTCTAGTTTGGGGCAATCATGAATAAAATTGTGATGAACATTCACGTACAGTTCTTGTGTGTTTTTTTTGCACAAACATGAATTTTCATTTCTCTAGAGTAAATGCCCAAGGGTGCCGTTGGTAGGTCATAGGTAGATGCACGGATAATGTTTGAAGAAACTGCTGAACTTTCTTCCATAGTAGCTGTACAGTAGTTTTTCATTTTGTTTTGTTTTTGTTTTTTAACGATAAAAGTGTAGCATAAGCATATTCTATGCTGTTTAGAGTATCCATTCATTTTTGGTCACAGTCTTGTTGCTATTACGTGCTTGATTGTCTCTCGAGACTTTACTGGGGTGTGGTGACATTTCCCTTTAGTCTTCCTTGGGTCACCAGTCACTTAGCTGGTTTTGGCCCTAGGAGGAAACCCCCTCAGCTTTGCTCACGTACTGCCCATCTCTGTTCCCTTCCATCCAGTTTCCAGTGGGCCCCTACCTGAGCCTTGAGTCTCTGCTCAGGAGAGCTCTTTGCCACCTTGTCTGGAGACAAACCCTGCCAGTCGGTTTCTGTTGAAGCCATGAAACATGCCCACTGCTCCGAGTCTTGAAATTCTTTCCTTTGACTTTGTCCTCTGGCCACTCTGTCCCAGGCACACTTCTAGACTCTGTTGGCCCAACTCCACTGTCTTGTCTTTTACTCACTTCCCAGTAAACACATAGTGCTGCAACAACCAAGTTTCTCTACCTGATTGGAAATCTCTGCTGGAGTTTTCTGCTGAGGTCCCCAGCAGCCTTCTTGCAGCCCAGTGTGATGCTGGTGTTTCCGTGTTCTTCTCCCTTGGCCTTCTTTCCTCCCTTGGTAACCTTGAGTTCTCATGGTTACTCTCGTTTTGTGGAAATACTTGTTCTTGCCTGCTGTCTCTTGGGCTGCTGCTGCTTGTTCTTACTGATGTCTCCTTTCTGTAAATTCCTTAAAATTTGAGACTCCCGAGTTCTGCTTAAGGCCACCTTTCCTTAAAATTCTGGGTGAGCTCCTCTTCTCACCCAGCTGCCTCTCATAGCTTTATTTCTCACCCAGCTGCCTCTCATATCTTTATGTAATCTCAACCTTCTACCCCAAGCTCCAGACTTACGATCCATTTTTCTCCTTCACTTGAACAAAATCCCTGAGGTGAACAATGCAGAGAAGGAAGGATTTGTTTTGGCTCCCAGTTGAGAGGTTTGGGTTTCTGCCCTTAGGCAGAAGCAGCCTGGCTGAAAGGTGTGGAGGGAACACTGCTTACCGGGAAACAGAACTCTGGGAAAGAGCCACGGAGGAGGGGGTGGGCGCTGGGGACAGATGCTGTCCCAGCATCCCACCCCTCACGGTCCACCCCTTCCAACCAGGCCCACCCTCTGTTTTCATCCCTCCCACTAAACTCACCAAATTATGGGCTCCTCCTTGGGTTAATTTCACTGATAAATAAAATAGGGTTAATTCACTGATTCATTACCCATAGAAACACCTGGAAAAGTGCCTCACTAATTGCCTAGATGTTTCCTAATCCAGTGACATTGACTCAGTGTGGGGACAGGCATCCTGACTCCGTGCCTGTCACCCAAACCTGTCAGGGACAGTAGGTGCCTCTTGAGCACCTCTGCGGTCTTCTGTCCTCCGCTGAAGTGTGTTGTTCCCATACCAGGTTTTGTTAATTATGCTTTTTCTGGTCAAACGTTAAATTGTTACATAAACGAAACCAAGTGTGAAAAGGAAGTGTTCTATGAACACCAAGGTGAACACTTTGGAAAAATTGAGTTAACTTGAGCTGCAGATTTATGTAAAGCAACTGTAAAAGACTTGGGAAATCAGTTGAACTCTAGAAAGATTCTGTACTGTTTCTCAAGTGTCTAAGATCTTGTTCCCTATCACGTTAGCCCCAAAATGATAGCCCATAAATAATGAACATGTGATTAATACAGAAAACGTGATATGGAATTCCCAACAACGGAACTACATTCAAAGAAAAGACTTCAGAAGATCAATGAATAAGTGTGGCTTTGTAATTAAAACCCAGGTGTTTAGCTACGCGTCTTACTTTGTGTCCCATTTTATTTCCTGTTTGACAAGGCTGCCACTCCTCCCCCGTGATTAACCACTCTTCACCATTGCTGCCACCTCCGGACAGCATCTCTGTGATTCTCTGCTGCAGCTTCTCAGCTGGTCATCTGTCCTAAATCACCAGTTCCAGTTCCTCCTCCGTGTCAGACATAAACCTCACCATGCTACCCATTACCTGAAACTAGTTCACGGGAGCTGAAGTCTGCTCTTGCTCATCTCTCGAATGTCATGCAGAAGTTTCTGTGCTGCCCTGTTCTATCCGCAAACTGTCCTTCAGTCATGTTAACTTGACTGGCTCTCACGGTTCGTTTGGGGGCGGTGGGATGTGTGTGTCTGGGGGAGAGAGCGCCCTGTTTTCTCCTCCTTGGGGTTCATGTAAACTGCGCCTCTGCTGGGAGTTCTCTCTGGGTCCTTTACCACAGAAGTGCCCCTGCTGCCTTCATGTCCTTGCTTTCCTTCTGGAAGCCCTTGTGATTTATGACGGTGTCCCACTTTCCCTGTTTTAGCATCCAGCACGTGATACCCCCTTTTGAAGGTAAGTGCGGTGTAAATTCTGTGTAGATGAGGTTCATACACTAATTTTGTTTGCCATAGTCTCTGCTTTATAAATTTTTGAGTAAACTTGTGGTGTTTTTTCTTTCCTTTCTTTTGAGTACTGTGGGATCTCTGAAAAACACTTACATGTCTCGCTTCTTTTGTAGCTGCTGTCTCTGCTGGCCTTCATCTGTGAGGAGGTGGTGTCGCAGTGTACTTTGTGTGGAGGACTGTACTTCTTTGAATTTGTGAGCTGCAGTGCCTTTCTTCTGAGTCTCCTTTTCCTGATTGTGTATTGTACTTCAGTGTACAACAGAGTTGATGCCATAAAAGTAAAATCATCGGTAAGCATGTAAAAATAGCCCTTTTAGTAAGAGCATAGTTATTGTGGAACATTTTGTGGTTTTATTGTTCAAAGTAGTGATGCTTTCGAACATTAGCCCATGAAAAGAAACTCCCCATTATTCCAGCACTTTGCATCTAAGCAACCCAGTTTTGCCTGCTGAGAGGATGACAGAGGGGAAGTGACAGTGGCAGACACTTGACAGTGTTCTAAAATTTCAAGGCAGGGCTTCATTAAGTTGCCCAGGCAGGACTGGAACTCTGGGCCCTCCTGTCTCAGTCTCCCTCAGATCTGGGCTCACAGGCGTGCGCCATTGCCCTTGACTGGATTTGTCACTTTTTATTTCTCACATTTCAGAGTGTCACTCATTGGTCTACAGTTGTGAATTACGTACTGTTGTCTACCAGATGTTATGCCAAGCATAAGCTAGAGTAATGAACTAACATATTTCTGGAGCTCCTAAATCGTTAACAGAATGTAATTATATCTATATTTTGCTTTCATTTTATTATGAGCCCAGTGTTCTGTAAGTGAATTAAGAAGGCATTTGTTGGTTTATTCTTCAGAAAGTTCCCTTGCAATAGGAAAGATTTCCCTTGAGGAAATCTTATTTTCACAAAATTGGAGTTTAACTTTCTAAAGACAATCTCCTCATTCTTTTTTCTTATCTGAGTAGAGTTTGGATTTATGAAATGACACACAAATAATTCAGGTAGGTAGTGAATGTAATGAAGAAACAGTTCAACAGTTTACTTCAGTAGTGTTTTGTTGTCAGTAGTAATTTGTATTTAAAGACCGAGTCCAAAACATGGGCATCTGAAATGAATAGACACTTCTCAGGTGAAGAAGTATAAACAGCAAGTAAATATATGAAAAATGTTCAACATCGCTGGTTGTTTGAGAGATGCAAATTAAAACTGAGATTCTGTCTCACTCCGGAAAAAATGACTTATCAGGAAATCTACCAGTAACAATTACTGGTGGGGTTATGGGGAAAAAGGAACCCTTCTCCACTATTAGTGGGGCTGCAGACTGTGCAATTACCGTGAAAATCAGTATAGAGATTCCTCAGAAAACTAAAACCAGAGGTTCCATTCAACCTAGCTATTCCCCTTCTGGATATCTTCCCAAAAGAATTAAAAGCATCATACCGTAACAGTGTATGCACACCCAACTTTATAGGGGCACCATTTGTGATGGCTAGACCTTGGTGGCAGCCTGGGAAACCATCAGCCAGTGAAGGGATAAAGAAAATGTGGAGTTTTTTTTTTTTTAAATATAACAGAGTACTACTTGCCATAAAGAATAATGATAAACTTAAGATGTTTCTAGCATTGTGAGGCCATACTCTTAACTGAAATAAATCAGACACACATGTAAATATCGCATGGTTTCTCTGGTGTGAGAAACTGCAAGTGTAAGTAAGGACCAAAATGTATAAATGTTGGGAAATGGAAAGAAAATGTCCCAGCGAGAGGGAGAACAAGGAGCAAGGGAGGGAAAAGAGAAAGAATAGGAGGAAGAAATGAAAACAGAACTTTGGTGGGTGGAGAAAGGGAAGATGAGCTAAAAGGAGTAGAGGGGAATGGGAAAAAGAAGCAGGATACACCATGTATAGGTACAGATTCCCTATGATGAATGTAATCACTGCGTAGATCTGAAATGTACCAGTAAAATAAGGAAAAATGGGCAAAGAAAAAAACAGTGACTTGTAAAGAGTAGTGCGTGTGAGGGTAGACACATGAAAGAATTCATATCTCAGCAGGTAAGGATAAAAATTACAGTAGATTGTTTACTGTTAAGAACAGAAAGTCGGGCATCCTGGCATACTCCTGTAAGCCCAGCCCTCGGGAGGCTGAGGCAGAAGATCGGTGTGCATTTGAAGTTAGCCTGGGCTACTGGGGAGTTCAGGACCAGCAAACTACATGGTGAGACACTCTAAAAAAGAAGAAAACAACAACAATAACAACAAAACCCCCAAGCAAAAACGGTGTGAAAAGAAAGCATCTTTCCTGCCTGGCAAACATGGGATTCTCAGTTTGATTCCCAGTAACCGCCCCACCCCGGCTGCCAAAAAAGAAACTCCTGAGAGAATGCTTTAGCGAATAAGTAGCTTTCTCACCCCAGAGTCAAGTGAGGTTCCAAAATGTGAAGTCAAGTAGATGTTTTCCAAAACTTAGCTGGATAAAATATGGCTTCGATAAACCTGGCATATGCTAAGCTGTGGGTGAAGTGGCAGGAAGAAAGCAGTAAGCTGCTCCTGTTTTGAATTAACAAGAAAAAAGCATGAAGTCTTATTATCATACACCAAAATTACATTTATTTACTTATTGGCAGAGCTCATGTAGTTTTTCCTGTGTACTCTTTTGTGCCACTTGAATTTTATACAATAGACATAGGTTTTAAAATTATTCTAAGTTACAAAATTTAAAAAGGTGAATGCTTATAATCCTAGTTACTTGGGAGGCTGAGGTGACAGGGTCACAAGCTCAAAGACAGTTGGGCAAATTAGTGAAATCCTGTCTCAAAATAAAAAGGCTGGGCGTATGGCTGTGCGATAGAACGCTTGCATAGCTTATACGAGGCCTTTTCACCTAATAAAAGGATTTCTTGTTTTTGTGCTTTGAAAATGACGAAGGAGGAACAGTCTCTATGAAGAAAGAATCTTTTATGTCCAGTACCATTGTGGGTCAGATTAAGTTAGGACCTAGCAGTAGGCCACAGGCAGTGACCTAAGTACCTTCTGTGGGCTAACTCTAGTCCATGGAATCATTTTATGAAGAGGATACTCTTACTAAATAACTAGTTCAGCTGTTTAACTTAGATTTGTAAGTTTATTTAATAACTATTAAATAACTAGTTCAAAGTCTCATCGGTAGTTGTATGGCTGAGATTTGAACTTAGGTAGGATTTATGAACTGGAGCTGTATTGGTTGAATATTGTGTTAGTCTATTTCAAAGTGATTGTCTTGTTTAAATATCTTTTTGACTCCACCCCAGATATTAGGAAATGGAACTTTATGTATGGATATAAAAGGTGTGAAATAATACCTCTTTTAGAACAGAGAAAACATCTCTTAAATTTTTTATGCATGTTAAGTGAATGGAAAACAGTAGAGAAATTCTGTTTTGATAGTTTTATTAATATTAGGTTTAATAGAAGTTGCAGTTCAGAAGACTCAGCACCAGGCCTAAAAGCTGTTAGAGTGGTGCCACTTAACCAGTTTTCCCTCTTAACTCAAGTGTGTGCGTCACACCCCATTTTCTGTTGGCACGGAGAGCCTTCCAGGCAATGCTGAGACAGCACGAGGAAACCCCTGGGCACCTCCCGCTGCTGAGCTGCTCTGTGAGATAAGTCAGAAGCTTTCCGCAGTGGACGATGAGCTCTCTTCCAGGCTTGCATAGACACCCCTTGGAGCTGTTGAGGGCCGTGCGTTACCCTGGAAAGCTGAGGTGTCTGAAAGCACACCACTTTTATTTAGTTAATGCTACATGGTTCTGTTGATTCTTTCCTGAAAGCACAGGAGCATTCAGTGATAATGTACTAGCATAGACTTGCTTTTTGAAATTTGAATTTGCAGGGGCTTTTTATGAATGTATATAGTAACACAGAAAGGTTTATTGCCGGATGTGGTAGCACACACCTGTAATCCTGGCACTCTGGAGGCTGAGACAGGAAAATTGTTTCAAGTTCAAGACCTGCCTGGGCTAGAAAGTGAGCTCAGGGCCAGCCTGAACTACATATGTAGTGAGACCTTCTTCCCCTCCCCAAAATAATGAGGTTTATTTGGCATATTGATAAACGCACACAGCATACTTTGAATATTTTCATTTCTTTTTTTTTTTTTTTTTTTTTTTTTTTTTGTCTTTTTCCTTTTTATCGGTACCAGGGATCGAACTCACAACTGCCTGCTTGCAAGTCAGGCGCTTATGCCACTGAGCTAAACCTCTAGCCCCGAATATTTTCATTTCTTTCACCCCGTATTCCTTTCTTTCTCCTTCCCTAATCCACTTCCTTATCTCTAAAAGTCTGTCTTCTAGTGCATAGAACATTTTTTGTTTGGTACTGGCATTTGAACTCAGGATCTTGCGCTTGCCAGGCAGGCACTGTGCCGCTGAGCTGTATCCCTGGCCCATAGTGCGTAGAATATTTTGAAAGTAAAGAAAAAAAATTTTTTTTGCTGGAAATATGATGGAGTTATAATAAATAATATATCCTAGAGAAAAGGAAGATAACGCACATACTCTTTTGAGAGACTTTATTTTTTGTACCAGGAATTGAACTCAGGGCCTTCTACTTGTCAGGCAGTCATTGTGCTGCTGAGCTACATCCCTGGCCTAAAAGACTTATTACAAGATTATCTTATACTCTTTCAATTCACCAAGCTAAAAGTATGGATAGTGTTTGAATACCAGGCTTAGTGAAAAGTAAGAAATGTGGTAGGTGGGTTTGGGTTGTGTCAAAAAATAAGTCATTGAAACTTTTTAAAATTAAAAACTTTGTTTCTATAAGTCTAACCATGTTGTATTCCTTATATGTTTGTATGTTATGCCTAGGATTTTTATATTATGCTGGGAACAGGATGTGTGTTTTTGTTGGCATCTATCATCTTTGTCTCTACCCATGACAGAACCTCTGTTGAAATTGCTGCAATTGTAAGTACTTTGTTTTTTAACATTTTTTTGTTTATTTTTTCTTTTTTTAAACAGAATAAAACAATGGGAAAGATACTAGGTTTCACGAACAAGGCACTAGAAAACCATCTGTAGTTACTGTAATGCACATTGTTATCCTCTAAATAGATGCTCAGACCTCCAGATACAGGCGTGCAGAGACAGTCAGACACCATAAGCACTAAGCTGTCTCTTTACTTCTGTTACTGTCATCTCAGAAATTTCTGGTGTGCGGCTTCTAATTTCCTCTGTGTCTGAGTCTCCTGGACTTCTGGATGAGAGACAGGCATGAAAATTAATCAAACAGTATAAGCACTAAGTTGTTTCTTTACTTCTTTACTGTCATCTCAAACATTTAAGATGTGTGACTTTTAATTTGCTTTGTGTCTGTCTTCGGGACTTGTTCTGGGAGGACTGGAGGTCTGGGATTGCAACCTGCTCCTTCGTCTTGCCATTTTCCTGTGTTCTTTCCAATTAACTGGTTGCGGAGACCTGGGTTGGCTGCCCATCCTTCGTGCAGGGCATGGTGCTAGGCACCTGGGTTCATCTGATCCAGTGTTCCCTGGATGGTGGTGGAACCGAGGGGTGTGGCTTCCTCTCCTCTGGGCCCAAGTGGGCGGGCTCACGGAGGGGCCTGGCTTCTTCATGCCCTTGCAGCAGATTCTCCGGGCTCAGGGAGTAGAGGTGGGGGATGCGGCTGCTTCTCGGGCCCAGGGCAGTGGGCTCACTGGGGTGCGAGTTGTTTCTTCCTGATGTAACGCCTGTTACATTTCTAAAGTTCTGAAGTGGCCAACAGACCATTGAAAGACACCACATTAGGTTCCTGCTTTAAACCAACAGCTTCGAAAAACTGCCAGTTTTGATTCAGGGCCAGTGTTTATTTTCTTAGAAATACAGAGTTTGACAAATACTTGCCAAGTTACACAATACGTGAAAGTATTTTGTCTTTTATTTTTAATGTAATTTAAAAATTAGATGAATGCCATGTGCTGTTCTATGTATACAGAAGAAATGACTTGTAAGTCCAACCTAATAAAGAAAATGGGGAAGCAAATTATAATGGAGTATGTTAAATGAACTAATAGAAGTTTGTCTAGAGAGCAGTCGTCAGTGGGCTATGAAGTTCATAAAATGCCATCACTTTCCAAGTAATAGGCAGGAAGCAGTTCCCAGGTTTTTAACCTCCATATGTAATCTTAATAGTAATGTGTTTGAGAATTCAACTCTGGTAGAGGAACCTAGCCAGTTCTTTCCTGCCTGTTTACGGTCAACCCTTTCCCTCAAAGAGGGAAAAAAGAAGGATGTGCCTACCTGTCTCAAATCTTACTATAGTGCATTGTTGCAAGTCGTGAAACAAAACAAAAAAAACCTTTTTGAGTACAACAAAGAAACAACTGAAAAAGATCTGTTTTTATCTGAGATCCTTGTGGCCAGGTATTTTTAAGAGTTCAGAATGGTGATACTGTGCATATACTACATTTTACATCGCCTTCAGAGGGCCAGGGCAGTGCCCTGTGTAATTGAGCATTAATAAATATTTACAGTAAAGGGGATGAGTAAAGGCTGCAAGTAGTCTCGTTGATTTTGAGTCAGGTGAATCATGAAAACTTCTTAAGTATTTTTAGTGTTTTGGGTTCCAGGTTTGCAAATCAAGGATCATGAGCTAGCCAGGTCACCACTAGTGTAAGTGAGATAACTAACAGTGGGGAACTAGTTGCTCTTGCTTGTCATCTGGTTTCCAACTAGGACTTTGTTTTTCACCAAATGAAGTTGTAATTAATAGAGTTGTCAGCTAATATATTATAAAAAGTACTTTTTATGATAGGTAGAACAATGCAAAAGGAGTCCAGAGAATTGCATAGCTCTATGTGCTTATTCTTGTGCCCACAGTTTCTTACCACTTTACACATGTGAAAACAAAAGACATAAAATTAATGTAGAACTTCAGCTCATCCTAGCAACGAGTAATACTCATCCATGGACACAGCAGCCAGTTGAAGAGAAAATCAAAGTTTAAGTAGTTTAACCTTGTAGTTAATTTCCATTTATAAACTTACATATTTTTATTGTGGAAGAGTTTGATAGGAGATAGTAAAATACAAGTGTAAAAATACGTTACTATAAAATTCTGTGGGAAATGTAGGGGGAAATTGAGTTTTAAGGAGTTGGGGGCATGTCATAAAATTCTCAGCCGTTAGTTATGTACTGTATTTAGGTGATACATTGTATTTAGTACTTAGTGATACAAAAAGTCAGTATTTATAACTGGAAATTACCTTTTGTGACTAAATTATTTTAGAAATGTAGATGAATGAGTATTTATAAAAGGAACTATGTGAGCAAACGAGGCAGAAGAGCACTTGCTTAGGCTTGTAGCATAGAGGGTTTTATGTTTTTTGGACAGGATGCTCAGCTGTTTAGATGCCTTGACAGGCGAGGTGACATGTTGTTTGCATTTGAGGTGTTCAGAAAGTTTGCCATGCAGGTAAGAGGCTAGATGCCATCGAGCCAAAACAAAATCTGGAGAGGAGAGAAAGACTTGCGTTTGGGGCTGGATTGGTAAATAAATTTAGTTTGGGTGTATTAGAGGCATTCAGGTGAATTAATGCGTTTGGAGTGCAGTTTCCCTCTATGGTGAAATGAGATATAACACAAATTCTGTAGGGTGAAGAGGTTGGAGAGAGGAAAGTCAGAAGAGTGCAGTAGATTATAACAATAGTGTTAAAAATCATGGAGATGTTAGAGGTGGAAGATATGATAGCCATCATTTTAGTGCAAATTTTGTTTGTTTTTTTTTCTTTTTTGTAGTATCTGAAATCGAACTCAGGACCATGCACTTGCCAGGCAGGTGCTGTGCTGCTGAGCTAAATCCCCAGTCCAAATTTTCTCTGTTTTATAGAACACTTTGTAAATTTTTTTTATTTTAGAGAAAAGAAAACAGAATTTCAAAACAAGATAATAGGAGGGTAATGATGGTTAATCCATTGTGTATTGTTATCTTTAAAGTAGTTACTCAGAGTACAAGATGTCTGCATTTGATCACCCAAACAATATTAGTACAAACCTTCCTTTTTAGTGAACTAAGAGAACTTAGTAGTCTAAGTATCTTAGCTATCCTGCACATACACACACACCTTTCCTCTTGCTTTTCCCTGCTTTTCTCCGTCCTTGCACCTCCAGAGCACTTTTTTGCCCCTGTTTCCACAGGGGTTTTGCTAGTGAGGAAGCTAACATGGAAGCGTGGTCCTCTGTCTCTTGGTGGAATTCTCTGGATGCTTGGTCTGTGTGCAGTGAGGAAGTGACTTGAGGAAGGGGAAGTAGGCAGTGGCGTGATGTCATTGTGTCAGTAAGTGAGAAAATTCACTGGAAATGTAGCCTAACAGGATCTTCAAAATGGAATTTTTGTTTGATGTTAGTAACTATCCATTTCCACTAAAGCCAAGTTGTCTACTTTCATGTTCCCTCACACACGTGTCAGTCTAGCCATAATTCTGTTTTATATCACTTTCTGGGATTTGATTTTTCATCTGCTAACCTCAGTCTCTCAGATTGACATCCCACACATACGAATGCATTCACAAGACAGGATAATTTGTATTTTGTGGAATAATAGCTGTTGTTTTAGATGTTTCTCTTTGTAACTTCTTTCCATGTTTGGATGGTTTAAACAGTTTTTTATGTCATTAGAGAATAGTGGGTATGGGATAAAAATAAATTATCCTGCTCATGTGAAGTACTCTCAGAGCCAAGCAGAAAATGTGAGATCATATTCCCCGACTCCTCATGTAACCTTACCCCTTTTTCCCTCCTCAGGTGTTTGGCTTTATAGCAAGTTTTATGTTCCTCTTGGATTTCGCTGCTATGCTCTGTGAGAAGCTAAGGGAGTCCCAGCTCAGAAAACCGGAGGCCCCTCCCACGGAAGCCCTCACCGAACCCCTGAATGCATAGACTCTGGGAGCGGCATTTCAGAGGAGAGCGACTCCCCTTCCCGACGCTTGGACTCTGGCAGGAGGTCTTGGAGAACGTGTGCAATTGTTTAAACCACTTTGGAAGAGCCAAGGGAAGGGCAGGAAGCCTTTCATCAGTGCTGAGCTGTCTGTCATTCACCACAGGTTAAGCCTGAGGGTGTTTTTAAAATTTAAAAAAAATAACTATTGAAACTTGTCTCCGATACAGATTTTTAAGATGGACAGGAAGATGGTTCTTTCTTTAAATCACATAGCTCACCTGATTACAATGAATAATTCTGATAAACAATTCTATGATTCTGTTACAGGGCATTCCCTTTCTACGCTTAGCTTCTAAATTATGCTTTTAGCTGTATAAACAGCTTGATTATATTCATCCTTTAGAAACTGTTTCACTTTTAAGTTAATTTGCATAACTGTTAGCTTGTTGGTGATTATATTATGTTCTGGTAATGGAGACTTAAATGTATATTTAAGAAATCAATATTTAAAATGTTGATCCAGTTTTTTTTTCCCCTTAATATATAGTACTTGGCTTTATTATATCTCACTCAGCCTTAAAATTATACGGTAACATTTTAAGATAATTATTAACATTTCTGAGAATTTTGTATAGTCTTCTATAAAACATATGAGAGATCTTGGTATTTTTTGTGTATAAAGAAAACATCAGCAACTTCATGTTTATATACTTTGGTTGTTGAGATCAAGTACATACAGAAAAATGGAAGCAACTGATGTCACACTTAAAGACCAAAGATGAGAAGGATGAACTTTTTTGCTCAGTACAGTAAAAATAATTACAAAAACAGGCTTCAGCCACTTACCATGCATGTAAATTCATGCTGCCGGTTAGAAATAGTTCATCCCCCTGGTGGCGTGTGATTGTCTCTATGTAAGTTACTCAGCTCTGTTGGTCCTCTTTCATGTGTTCTCTTGGGTCAGGTCTTTTAAAACCCAGCTTTTGACTTTTCATATGTTTGTGTTTTGTCTTTTTCTCAGCATGGTCCATGTTCTCCTTCGTTGAGTGGAGCTTGGCCTGTGGTTCTTACTTTTTACCATTGACTGTTGTCTGAAGGTGGTTCAGAATCTTTAATTGTGAAAAGTGTGTAGCAGGAGCTGTAGGGTGCTTATTCCGTATGGGTGTTGCTCTAGTTCTGTCCGGAGGAGACATTTTAAGAAAATGGATAATCAGTCACTCTGCCCAGCTTAATACTGGAGTAGTCAGACAGTTCTCAGGAGACATTGTAACCAGTTCTTACAATTTGGAAGAATTGTTAAAAGCTGTCAGCCACACAGGAATGGCACTTGGGATGGGACCCTTCAGTCTTATAAATGAGGCCTTTCTTGTTGAGGCCTTAGAGTTTTGACCCAGAACTCCGGTATAAAGATGATGATCCTATATATTGGGTTCTTCCAATGCTATAATGTAATAGCCCCGTTCTTTTTGTAGTTTGCATGTTACAGATGGATTTAAGTTGCATTAAGATGGCTAATGTGGGTCTTGGAAATTGGTAAATGTGGGCAGACATTTGCCGGGTTACTGACTCAGTAGCATATCTGTTGTGTCAGTTTGTGTGCCAGTGGTAGTGGTGATGTCACCTCTGCCTGCTTGGAAGATAATGAAACCAATGATGGATGCTATTTTTACGGGGCTATTTATTCAAGATAGGAGAAATAGCTGGGTCTTTGATCTAAGAATAAAGACTGAATAAAAGATAACCGATTTGTGGTAGGTAGTTGTAGAATTTCACATCAGACTGTACTGTTGTCATTTTAAGTGTGATGTGGATCCATCTAGAATTCACAGCAAATCATCTTGGATTCTTCAGGGTCACCATAAAATACCTGAGATAATCATTTTAAAAAGGGAAAAGATTTATTTTGACGCACAGATTTGGAAGGTCCAGTCCATGGCTGGCTGGCCCTGTTGCTTTCGGGCCTGTGGTAAAGCATTGTATCATGGTGGGGTGTGTGGTGGAGCAAAACTGCTTACCTCATGGTGGCTGGGAAGCAAAATGGGAAAAGGTATAGAAGAGATGGAGGTCTCACAGTCTTCTTCAGGGGTGTGCCCCTGTGGACTCCAGACTTCCCTATAGGCCCCACCTTTTAAGATTTCTACCATCTCTTTGTAGTGCTGCTCTGGGAAGCAGACTTTCAACCCATAACCTTGGGGACATTCCAGATAGGCCTGGTCAGTGTGGACAGACCTGTTCTCGGCTGGGTTCACACATGAAGCATGGTGGACTAGACTTCACCTCCTTTATTCTGAGGCTTCACCTCCATTTGTCTCATTGGTGCAGAAGTGGACCTCTTTGTTAAGCACTTACTTTTTCCTTTTTAGAAAAATAAATTGTTCCTTTTTTTTTGTACCAGGAATCGAACTCGGGACCTTGCACTTGCCAGGCAGGCACTTCTGCTGCTGAACTATATTCCCTGTCCCTGTTGAGTTGTATTTGCTCACTCACCTTGTTTCTTAGGGGATCGATGTCTGGTTAGTCTTTTATTATGAAAGAAAGATCATTTAAAAGACCATTTTAGTAAATAAATTCAGGGAAAACTTGGGACCAGAAACTCTTGTTATATACAGAAAAAGATGATCTCGATAAACTCAAAATAATTTTGTATTAGCAGTTATGGTAAATTTAATTCATAATATTTTATACAAATTATTTAGAATGGTTCTCAAGAATTATAAGGGAAATATACTTACAGTACAAAAATTATAAGTACTATGCTTACATTATTTGGGAATCGGGAAATGTATTTTTACATTGTTTACAGCCAATCATTTTTGTATTTTTCATTTTAAATCCTGTGGATCTTTTTTAAAAAAAATCTTTCCTAATGTCAAAGTTTATAGTCTTCTTTTTAAATAAATGGATTTAATGGAAGTGTTTTTACCTTTGTAGTTGTTTACTACAGAAGCTCACTGGCTTGGTAAAAGCGTTCCCACCTCATTGACGAGTTGGCCTTACAACCTTGTTGAATGCTCACATGGAGTACTAGATTGTGAGTCTGAACTATGTAAAAGATGAGGCTAAGTAAAAAGAAATCCCTTTCCTTTGAATGAGCTGTCTTTTGGAAAGGTAGAGAATACACGTGTAAAACTTTTAGGGTACTGCATATGAAAAGTTACACAAGAATATTGCAGGCTAAATACCCTTAAATACTTTCACAGACTCACATTTGGATACTGTATCAAGTTGTGGATGTGGCTAAAAATGCTGAAAACAAAGAAGGCACATTCTGTTCAGGGATTCAGAAAGTGGAGCCAGACTAGGGTGGTTCTGGTAAAGCTACAACTATTTGCATAGCTTGCAAAATTTCCACCTCCAGTCTGTCTGAGAATACCAAGGTCTTTATAGTTGTCAAGAACTCACTGGAATTTGTACATTCTTCAAAGCTTTTTGTTTTTGTTTTGATAAGGAGCATTGTGTTAATAAGTAATAAGCTTCAGCGAGCAGAAAGCTCAATTAAACGTGTCTTAAACAACATGGAGAATGTCACAAGAAGTCTGGGGGCAGCAGCAGGTTTGACAGCGCCTGCTTTTTATAGTCCTAGCGACTGAGGAAGCTGAGGCAGGAGGGTCACTTGAGCACAGGAATTTGAGGACAGCCCAGTAAATTCAGTGCTCAGCAACATCATTACAGACACACATTCTTCTCATATTTTCTGCCCATCCATGTTGCACTGTGAATTTTGTTCTCAGAGCTGAGGTTTTATGGTATAGAAAGGTGGTGGAAGGATCTCCAGGCTTTTTTTTTTTTTTTTTTTTTTTTTGTATAGTAATGTCCAAAATAAGCTGTTCCTTTTGCTGAAGTCCCTCTATGGGCTTTACCTATTTGTGTTACTAATTAAACACCCTTTTCTGAATCACTTACTGACATGGATAATGAAAACACTGTAATTGACTAAAAGTAATCAAGATTTTCCCACCTTAGGCAGTGCAGCTGCCCAACATGGAAAAGGTATAGAAGAATTACCTGAGCAGTTAGCCGTGCGAGCAGAGCAAGAAAGGGACAGAGTCTGTCAGCAGTACTTTAAGGACTGTTCAAATCAGTGATACTCTGAGCAAAATTAAAACCAGTTTAGAAACATTTGTGGTCCTGACTATTCTGAAACAAAATTAGAAAAACTAACACTAGTTTTTTTGTTTTGTTTTCTTTTATTTTTTATCGGTACCAGTCCTCAGCCCACTAGTTTTGTTTTTAAGACTAACTTTACAAGTATGTATATCATGGAAAATTGACATAATTAAAGGTGGTAAGTATTGTCTTTTCCTTGATATTTTTGTGTTTGGTTATTTTTATTTTTGTAATGTTTCAAGGGCTGCAAATACAGATGATAGTAGATTTTACTGTACAGTGTATGCTTTAAGATCCTTTATTTAAAAAAGGAAAAACTTTAAAATACCAAAACCTCTGGACCAGCATGTAGTAGAGCACTTGCCTAGCAAGTCTGAGGCCCAGGGTTAAATCTCCAGTACCAAAAACAAAACAAAACAGAACACCACCACCTCTAATCTTACTCATTTGTCTTATTCTTTGTTCTTTTGACTGTAACGCAATCAAAGTTAAACACTACATTAAATTTGGTAAGTATCCTTCCTGTCTGTTGTTAGAGTGTCTGGTAGGAGTGTGTGCTCACACCTGCCTGCATGTGCGGGCATGCACAGATGGATGTGTGCATAAGCAGTGTATAATGTGTTTGTGCTATGTGGATCCTTCCCTAGCCTGCTTTTTCAATTAGTCTTTTGAAACTTGCACATGTAACTGGTTCATTTCTTTTAAATGCTATTTGGTATTCTTTCGTATTATTGTATTACAACTTATCCCCTGTTGAAAGAAGAATTTGAATGTGGTTTTCAGTTTTGACCTTTTCGGTGTTGCTTTGCACAAACATCTGAATGTCTATTCTTGTGTATGTGGGGAAGAGTTTGTATGTGGTGTAAGTGCTTAGAAGTGAAATTATTGGGCTGGAAGGAATGTGCCATGGCTAAATATTTCCAGATGCTTCTCCACAGTGGTAGGCTCTGTTGATACTCGCTTCTGCAGGTCATGAAAGTGCTCATTTCTTCACTTTTGTCCTGCATTTGATATTAGCTCAAATTACTATTTTTGCTGATCTGGGACAAAAATGATGTCTCATTTCATCTTGTATTTCCAGTGAAACCAGTCATGTTTTCATTGTATTTTGACCCTTCTGTGAATTGTTTATATACTTTGCCATTTTTCATATTGACCTTAAGAGATCTTGACTTGGTTAATACAATCCTTTGTTAGAAATACGCCTTGAAGTATTTTCTTGCAGTCTGTGATTTAGATCTTAGCTTTATTTCTCTAATTACTTCAAGGTCAGAAAACAAGATTTGATCCTCAGGGTGTGATTGGGCCACCTCTGTATTTGGCCCTGCTTGCCCAGCTGCCTGTTAACTTTCTCTCATCCGTATGAGAGCATTTATGGCCTGCAGGAGGATTGTTCCAGCCAAAGCAGATTCCGACAAAGCAGTATCAGCCGTTGCTCTTGCCTTCGGAATCCTCTACAGTCTACATGGACAACCAAGAAAGAAAGCAGTTTTTAACAAAGCCAGCTGTGCAGATTAGGTCCACATGGAAGGAGACCCTACAGTTCTAAACCACCCTTGGTACCTCCTGTGTCTGTCACCACAACTAGTGATGTTTAATAAGTCACCCCAAACCTCTGACTTAAAACAAGAGCTGTTTTAGTTCATGAGTCTATGGGTCTCGGTGTGGGCCCCATGGCTCCTCTGGGCTTAGCAGGGCTGCCTTCCGTGTCTGGGCATAAGCTTGCTGTTGATGAGCTCAGTTCACCTTGGGCTGGGGAAATTCTCTTCCAGGGATCTCATATCTCTTCAGCAGGCTTATTTTCATGGTGATGGCAGAGGACCAAGAGGGACAAACCCCAAAGTGTGTGGATAGGATTCTCAAGCCCAGAGTTGGACAGAGGTGGCATTATGACTGGGCCCCGGCATGATAAAGAGAAGAACGATAATTGGGGCCGTTTCAGCGTCCTTCTTGTATCCTGCTTGTCTGTTTACTGCCTTGAACACATAGCCTCGTAATCAAAGGGGCAGCTTCTGTCATCAATGGCCATTTTCTAATTAAAGGTTATTTTTACCCAAGCATGAAATAACAGGGAAATACATTCCCAGCAGTAGAATCTCAAATCTGCTGATAGGGAAAGCTTCCAGTTTGGTGTATGACATTGTGCCTCCTGGTACAGATAAAAATAAGACTTAATGGGCAGAAACACGTGGATTAAATGTTGGGGCCACAGTTCCCTAAGATTCCAGTAACCTGTAATTTATTTAGCTAGACATGAAAGGGTGACGTATAGAGGGAGACCCGCCCCACAGTGCTGGTTCCGTGAGCTTATGGGGAAGTTCGAAGGAGCAAAACAGTAATTATGCAACTTTGTAAGAAAGGAAGCTCCCTAGGAGAGGAAATGACCTTGTTTAAAAAGAAGCCGTTTGGGCCACATGGTCTCCACGTACTCACTAAAGTCAGACGTGTTGACACCTGACCAGTTGAGATCTGTTGTCCCCTTTTGGGGATGAGCTAATATATTTTTTTTAACCCAGCAGAGCCACTGGGTTAAAAGTAGATATATCTACTTTTATAAGTAGATACATCTACTTATAAAGTAGATCACAGTTATAAGTAGATCACAGTTAAAGAAATGTGACCCTAGGTCACCTGAGACAGTATTCAAATTGGTCTATATATCTCTGAACAAAATGAACCCTCCATGTGTTAAGGTCAAAATAGGTGCAAAAGCCAAGGAACTCAGGTTGGTAGTGGAGATTATCTGCTTGTGCAATCTGTAAATAAATGAAATGGAGCAGCTGGCTCTGTAGACATCATCACTGAAGACACTGGTAGAGCTGCAAAGGATGCAGTCTTTACTAAGAGTGGCTTCCATCATTTCTCACTGGGTATGTGGTTCCATAGCTGTGGTGGATTTGAGCATTTGGTTCATACTAGAGTCAATGGCCACATGTGTTTGATGGCTTTTCATGTCTTTTTGTAATTGTGGTTGTTTCATAGAACTGTATATATAATAAATACTGAGTTTATAATTATATAATTAGATGTTTCTGTGATGGAAGATGCTTAATGTATATGTCTTTCGTAGCCCAGTCCCTGGTTGGCCCAAAGATATGACCTACCGGTAGGCCATTTGTGAGAACCCATCAAATGATTTGGTAAATCTTGGACCAGTGCCCTCTGTGGGTCAATGTCCCATCTGAAGCTCAGCACATTGCAGCGTCCGCTGCTGGGGCTCGCAGCCACTGACCATCACCGAAGAGCTGGAGCCTTCCAAAGGACTTTTGCAGCTTGGAAGTAGGTGTGTTTTTTCCTCAATGATGTTTTCTTGTCAGATGGTTTACTTTGTAGGTGAGATCTTTATTAAATGGTAGGGAAGACAGTATATCTAACAGGTAGGCAACCATCTGTTTCTCAAGACTAAAGGCTAAAATGGGCTGAGCGTGACTTTGGGGAACTTGTCCTGCCTGTGGAATTTAGTTGAGAATTGCTTAGTTCTATTGAGGTGACCTATTGGTGGAGAATTCAGGGCAATGAATGTCAGGTTAGAGACTGTTTTGATTGGGGTCAGTAGTCCTAGCGCAAGACTCACTGCCTGGCCCTGCTTACATCATTCGTTGTTGGGGCTGCGAGTTTGATTCAGTGGCACAGCACCTGCCTGGCAAGTGTAAGGTCCCGAGTTTGATTGCCGGTACCAAAAATAAATCAATAGTAATTAATTGTTAAGGCCCTCATTCAGACTTGGGGTGTAGGAATATTCCTAGGTTGGGATGTACTGTGTCTTAATGTTTGTTGCAGGACTGCAGTTTTGTTTTTTGTAATTA